GTCAGAGACAGTGCGACTGGCACAGGACAGAGCAGAGTTTAGGGCTGTTGTACATAGTGTCGCTATGAGTCGCAAGCGACTCGACGGCACATAACAACAACAAATTTCACTCAGCATAATGTCTTCCAGGGTCACCCATTTTGTATAAGTTTATTAGCTTCTTATTTTTCAGTGCTGTGTAGTATTCTATTGTGTGAAAATACCACAGCTTCTCTATCTATTTTTTTTTGTTGTTGATGGACACTTGGATTATTTCCATCTCTTTGCTATTGTGAACAACTCAGCAATAAATATAGGTGTGCATGTATCATATATCTGTTTGGGCAGCAGTTCTACTTTCTTTAGGGCATATTCCCTAAAATTGCTGGGTCAAATGGTATTTCTATTTCCATCTTTTTGAGAAAGGGCCATACTGCCTTCCATAGTGGTTGCACCATTTTACACTCCCATTAGCAATGAATCAGAGTTCCAATTTCTCCACCTATTCGCTCATTTTAATCTCCTCACTTTCTTCCCTTCACTACTATCCATCACTCTTCCTTATTAATTGTCTCACTTTCACTAGAATATGAAGCAATTGAAAATGCCATGGCTTGGATCAGGCATCTTATTCTTTAATTTGACATCTGTGCTTTTTAGCACTTACAGAGATCTTTGACAGCAGGTTTTCCTAAGACAATATGATTTTTGAATTGCTTAATTGCTTTTTCCATGGGTGTTGTTGATCAAGTATAATGAAATCCATAGCAATTTCAATTCTTTCTCCATTTACCATTGTGTTGTTTATTGGTCCAGGAGAGAAGATATTTGTTTTCTTGATGTTTAGGTATAATTCACACTGAAGGCTGTATGTGAGTTTTTTTATCTTCCTCAGTAAATGCTTCAAGTCCTCCTTTCTTTAAGGTGGTGTCGTCTGTATAACACAAGTTGTTGGTGAGTTATACTTCAATCTTCATGCCATATTCTTAACAAAGTTTTTCAAATAGTTTGCTCAGTATATATACTGAATCAAAACTGAATACTCAAACTTACTACTAGACTTTGAATTGATCCTACAGTGGGTGTTCAGGATGCTGTGAATCGCCTGAAAGGCTCCATCCCTTGGAGCCACAGATGATTCTATCTGTCTCTGGGGTGGCAGTACAATTCACTATGGACATACTGAATAGGTATGATGAAAGGATACAATAATGATGCATATCTTTCCTGATATGAAACTATTCAATATCTCCTTGCTCTGTTATGAAGACAGCTTCTTGGTTGATGTCTTGGTCCTGAATGTGCACACATAATTTTTCTGGAATTCCCAATCTTCTCTACATTATGTAAAATTTATTGATATATACAATGAAATATCTTTGCATAGCTAATAAAACACATGTAAACATCTTTCTGTAATTGTCATCTTTCAACAAAGATCAGCAATAATATTCTTCTGCCTATAGTCTTTTCTGAATGCAGATTGAATTTTTGGACTTTCTCTTTTAATGTACTCCTCCAGCCCTTTTTGAATAAGCTAGAACAAGATTTTCCTTGGGTGCAATATTAATGATATTGATAATTTATATATCATGCTGGATCACCTTTTTTGGAATGGGCACAAATATGACTGTCATCCAGCCACTTGGTCATGTAGCTATTTTCCAAATTTCTTCACATAGACTGGTAAGCATGTTCAAGGCTGTATCTGTTCTCTGAAACACCTCATTTGATATTCCATCAATTTCAGACTGTGAAAGATTTTAGGAATCCTCAATTTCTTCATCTTTGGCTTTAGTGGTTTGTGGATATACTTGAATAATCATCCTTTAAATAGGTCTTCTTTGTTCTATATACAAAGATTGTATATTAGATATTATTCTATTACTGACAGTATAGTATTTCATGACAAATCTTAAACTGTTTTTTTTTATGGTAAATGCAACACCATTCCTCTCCTATTTGTTATTCCAGGCATTGTAGGCCATATGATTCAAAGTGGTCAATACCAGTCTATTTTAGCTAATGCCTAGGATCTCTCTCTCTCTCTCTCTCTTTTTTTGTGAAAAAAAAATTTGTATTTAGAATTAGGCAGCTGGTCTCAATTTAGATGATCCCAATTTTGTTGGCAACATCCAAAGCATCATAGTTGAGAGCAAGTCAAACAAAGGTCTTCTTCTCTCCATCAGGCCTTATCAAAGTGTTGACCTTGGCCACATCAATGTCAAAGAGGAGCTTCTTTACAGCTTGTTTAATTTGGTGCTTGACACCCACAATAAACACAAGTGTGTTATCTTCTATCTTCATGGCTGACTCAGTGGTCAGGGGAAACTTCATGATGGCATAGTGGTCAAGCTTGTTTCTGCTGGGGGCGCTTTTCCAGGGATATCTGGGCTGCCTAGGCAGTCTCAGCGTCTTAGGCCGCTGGAAAGTCGATGATGTGTGGATCTTTTGTGTGTGTGTGTGTGTGTGTGTGTGTGTGGCTGTGGATACCCTTCACTACTGCCTTCTTGGCCTTTAATGCCTTTGCTTTGGCTTCAGTTTTGGGAGGGTCAGGGGCTTCCTTCTTTGCTTTTGGCACCATCTTTGTAGAAAAAGGGAGGATATCTATATGCTTTCTATTTCATTCTTTACAACTCAATTTCCTTAAATTAGTACTTGATACAGTCCACATTACAATCATTAGTAGATGTTCAGCTGTTTCTCTTCCTTTTGAGTCCTGCCTTACCAACAATTGAAGGTCCCTTATTGACGGTCCCTTATTGACTGAAAGTTTTATGTCTTTTTAATGATATTACAAGCAAAAGCAAGCACCCAGAAAAAAAAGTTTTATGTCAATCACGTCACTAAGGAAGACACTACTTTTAGCAAGCAGCTATTCTCCAGTCATATTTTGAGTGCCTTCCAACTGGAGGGGGCGTTCTTCCAGCACTACATCATATTATGTTCTGCTGAACTCTTCACAGGATTTTCAAGGGTCCATTATTTAAAAACTGGATGGTCAAAGCAACTATGAAGTATCATCTCACCCCAGTAACAATCGCAAAGTTCAACAGAGCAACAAACGACAAATGCTGGTGAGATTGTGGAGAAATTGCAACACTTATTCACTGCAGGTGGGAGTGTAAAACGGTGCAACCACTATGTAAGGTAGTATGGCCCTTTCTCAAAAAGTTGGAAATAGAAATATCATTTGACCAAACAATGCCACTAATGGGAAAATATACCCTAAAGAAACCAGAGCTGCCACCCAAATAGATATATGCACACCATGTTTATTGATGCATTATTCACAACAGCAAAGAGATGGAAGCAACCCAAGCGCCCATCCACAAATGAGTGGATAGAAAAACCATGGTGTATTCACACAATGGAATAATATGCAGCATTGAAAACAATGACCTTATAAAACATTATACAACATAGAGGAGCCGGGAGGACATTATACTGAATGAAATATCTCAGTCACAAAATGATAAATATTGTATAACATATCTTTTATAAAATAAGACAGACATGGGGGGATTGAGGGGAGCATGGGGAAAGAGTGAACAGATAAGGAACACTGCATTAGAACAGATGAGGGGGAAGAACTGTTGGAATGAAATATGTAATTATGCATTATATAGATGAGAACAATCTGGAACAAAGGATGCATTGTGGAGAGGTTGCGCGGGGGGGGGGGGGGGGGAGAAAATGTGCACAATTTAAAAAACTCTCACCACTGGGCTGGTAGGAAACATCAAACATCATGGTAGATGGAAAAAGATTGTAATTATCAATGACGTTATCTTACTTGGATCCATAAACAACACTCTTGGCATTGTCATGAATTCAAAATACTTATTTTGTTGGGAAAGTCTGCTGTTCGGGACTTCTCCAAAGTTCAGAGGTGTAATAATAACAGATTAAGGCTCACCTCACTGCCAGCCATGGTCTTTTCAATCACTTGCTATTCCTTATGAAAGCTTGACAATGGATAAGGACGACAGAAGAATTGACGCCTTTGAATTGTGGTGTTGGAGATGAGCACTGCCTATTCCATAGGCTATCAAAAGAATAAGTAGGTATGTTTTGGAGAAGGTGCAGCCAGAGTGCTCCTAGAAGGATGGCAAATCTTTGTCTCACATTCTTTCAGCATGTTGCTAGACTGGGGTCTTGCTTTGAAAGGGATATCATTCACGCTGGAAAAGATGGAAAGTCAGCTAAAGAGAGCAAGACTCTCAGCAAGATAAAGGCTCAAGAATGTCGCAGGACAGGACAAGGTTCAGATCTTTTGTTTATAGGATCGCTGTAAGTCGTATTGGACTCCATGGCACATAACAACAACAAAAGGTTCAAAACAAGAATCCCCACCCCGCCAGGCTCGAAATTATAGTACGCAGGATTGGTGAGCACGAGTGTACACTGAAACAGTCAATCTGGAAACATCACCCAATCACCCTCACTTCCGGTGCCCACCACAAAGGCTCGCAGTCCCAGCATCCACACTTCCGGATAATTAAACCTGCGCAGTGGAAAGCCGGGTCAGCCAGCAGCAGTCGCGTGATTTCTTATGCCGCTACTGCGCATGCCTCCCACGGTCTCGATGTGGGCGGAGCACTGGATGGGCGGGCCGGAACCATGACTTGTCTCGCGGTTACTGGGCTGTGGCGAGCGCGCGAGCTCGGGGGCGGTACAGGGTGGAGCCTTCTGCCAGTGGGCTTCGCGGGTCTCTGCCTTATTGCGCGGTGTTCACAAGGCTAAGGTCGTCTTAGGTGAAGAGGTTGCGCCAGGAGTAGCTTAACAGTGGCGCCTGGTCGTTGTAGAGAACCTGCGGCAGAGCTGTTAAGGGACTGTGGTACTTCCACCTTCCCTGCCGCAGTCATGGCGAAAGGTAGCCTTGCGGAACCCTCGCAGACGGGGGCACTCAGCGTGACCCCCACTGGGGGCCGGTCAGCGGAAACAAGGGTTCCCGAGGCGTCAGACCAAAGAGACCACTTGAAAGGTGAGTAGCTGCAGGAACCAGACCTGGGCTAGTCCGGAGGTATAAGGTGTTCCAGGATGGACTGCGGTGAGGAGAGGACTCTAAACTGTCTCGGGGGTTTGCGGAGTGTGAATGAACTCGGTACTACGCATCATAAGGTGCGTAGTGAATGCTTGTTAAATTTAGGCCGATTGAAGAAAAAGGAATGACAGGGGTTGTTTTGTTGACACCCGGGGAGATTGTTAAGTTGGTAATATTGGAGCTGTACAGAGCTAGTAGGAACTTCATTTATTATTTTTACAAATGAGAAAACTGAGGGGTTGGTGTATGACTTGCACAAAGTCACAAAGCCAGATAAGTAAAGGTAAGAGCAGTGATTTTTAGTGACAGACAGCAGCACCTGACTGTGAATCCCTGCCCTACTACTTAACCTGTGACGTTGGGCTTATAAAAAGCTCAGTATTTGAACTGTCAATTAGAGATAGTAATAATAGTATCTATTTAATAGGCTGGTGCTTGGAAAAATTCGTTTATGTAAAATGTTTAGCTTAATGGTTGCCTACTTTTAAGAAGGGACTAAATAAATGTTAGGAATTATTATTCTTATTTACATGCAACACTGGTACACTCCTGTGATGGGTGAAGAAAGGGTCTTTAAGAGGAACAGAAAATGCTAATAATATACTTTGGAATAAATTTAAATGTGTCCAGCACTCTGATTTGACTTTCTAAGGTTTACATCTTTGGCTATCTACCCAGCCTAAAAACTTTCTTTTTTTGTTACTTTTTTAAATTTCTTTTTATTTTATACTTGTTTGCATACAAAATTCACATACACTATGTTCTGTTGATATACATTGTGTTTCACACAGTCTTCTATTCCCATTTTGTTAAACTTTTAAAAAAACCTTCTAGATAGTCTTTCAGGTGACTTTCATAGGCCGTAAATTGAACAGGAGATGGGTTTGAACTACCAAAGAAACATTACTTTAGCTTAGCAACATAACTTCCAATGGATCAGGCTACCAGAACTCCTTAACCTGTGTTGCTGTTGTTGGGTACTGTCAGGTCAGAACCAACCGACAGGTGACCCTCCAGTGGGTTTTCAGAAGCAGTTAATCACGTGAGAGAAGGTTACCCATCCTTCTGCAGTTGTTATTGTGAACTCCCTAACCCATATAGGGTTGTTGTTAGGTGCCATCCAGTCATGTACGACTGATAATGATCTTCTGAACAACCAATCTGAACTGTCGTATCCTGTGCCATCCTCACAATCTCTGACATGCTCAAGCCTGTTTTCCCTGTTAAAAGGTCAACCCACCTGGCTGAGGGTCTTCTTCCCTTTCACCAACCCTCCACCTGCCCAAGCATGATGTCCCTCACTGAGGAATAACCTCTCTTAGCAACATGCCTAAAATATGTGAGGCGAAGCTTCATCATCTTTACCTCCAAGGAGCACCATGGCTGCACCAGACATATCTGTTTGTACTATTGGTAGTTCATGAGATCTTCAGCACTCTTCTCCAGTACCACAGTTCAGAGGCATCAGTTCTTCTTCTCTCATCCTTAGCCCAGCTCTAAGGTGCATAGCAAGTGACTGAAAGACCACAGCCTGAATCAAGCACACCTTAGTCCTCAGACTGACATCATTGCTCCTCAGTAATTTGGAGAGGTCCCTGACTACAGGCTTTCCCAGTATAGTACATTTCCTGATCTCCTGACTGCTGCTACCAAGTGTATTGATTGTGGATCCAAGTATACAGTAAAACTTAATAACTTCAAAAGCCGAGTTTTGAAATGAGTTGTCAAAATTGTAAATCTGTATAAAGCACTAGTATTGTTTTGAAGATTTTATTGCTGAGGCCTACGTATGGTCTCAATATAAAACCCACCCCTCAAACTTACTGCTGTCAGGTTGGAAAGAACTCCTAGGTTATTTTGCATTGTGTTTGCAAGGCTGTAAGTTGCACAGGAGGAAAGTGTCCATCTTTCACCCTGGAACCGAAAGGTTTTGGATTTTTTTTACCTGAAGCTATTCAGAATAGAAAACCTTGAAACTTTCCAAAATACTGTTTATTATTGCTTATCATTATTAAGTTTTGAAAATGTCTTCTGCAGACCATTAAAAAGTCTAAAGGAAGATGTTGATTTTAGTTGGATGGCTTCATGGAAAAGCTGAGTTGGAACTGACCCATAGCTAATCCTCCAGCAGGTTTTAAGAGGTGGTTAATCACAGGGGAGGAGATTGCCTACCATTCTCCTGCAGAGCAGCTGGTAGATTCAAACTGCTTGCCTTCAGGATTACAACACAGCTTCCTGTCTAGGCAGGGGAAACAGTGAATTTAAAAGTTAGTTAAACCTTTCAGAACGCTTGATTGTGCTTATGTGAAATCTATACTCGGACTGGGATGGATCATAACAAACTGTGGCTGACTCTCAGAAGAATGGGAATCCCAGAACACTTGATCGTGCTAATGAGAAACCTTGGACCAAGCAAGAGGCAGTTGTCAGAACAGAGCAAGGAAACACTGCATGGTTCAAAATTGGGAAGGGCATGTGCCAGGGATCTGTTCTGTCTTCATACCTTTTCAACCT